TATTTTCTAGGTTGTGTTTTCAATTTTTTGTAATTGTTCATTAGAATGAAAAAAGTGTATATTTCAAAATTTGGATCAAACAAATGGCCATAAGATGGTTTTTTAAGGTTATTGCATCATATTACTATACAACGGTTGTATGAAATCATTGCTAGCAGCTACAAAAAAAATACAAAAAAATATTTTTGATAAAATAACATGATCAAAATACCCCTAAAAATTTCACGGGTATCTGATTATTTTATTTTTTAGAAATTTTTTAATATTTTTTTTAAGATGCGCCCATTGAGACGATGACATGCACCATATTTCATGTTCATATGATTTGTAGAAAAGAATTATAAATAAAGTACTCTGAGATGTCAAATCTAGATCAAACGATCAACAACTCACTTGTGACATTATGACTAAGGCTATCTCAGCCGTTCATTCAAATCGGATGGCTGAGAGTAAAGGTATTTACATAAAATACATAGAAGTGGAAAAAACTTGCTGAAAAACTTGTTTTCCCTATATATAAAAGGAAATTTAGCATTAAGAAGATAGTGAGAATATTCACTCCCCTAGATCCATACCTGACCCTGAAAGACTTGGATACAAGGTATCTAGTCAGGTTGGTCTGGTCCAAGGTTGGGGTCCACACCTAAAACCAGATTTGGTAGGTCTGACCTAGATAAACTCAGACTTAGACCCAGACTCAGCTGCATCCAAGTTTGTTTGACATAGACCCAATGCGCAGGGTCCAAGGATACAGTTAAGACCTGGGCCCAGGTTGGGTCAGAGGGTCAGTTGGGTGAGAGGGTCAAGACCTGGACCCCTTTGGCACTCTAATAAAACTATTCCTATACATAATTTTCTTACAGAAAATCTACCAAAACAGCCACTAAACATTATTGCATTTTCTTTAAAAAACAGCCACCGAACGAAGTTTTACCATCATTACCTAGTGTTTTTCCCCTTGATTTCATGAGAGAAGACCTCACTAAGAGCCATATTGAAAGAGGCTTATCGGAAAATGCCATTCTTTTCAATGTCATCTTGAATTCTATTTCATCCACATACTCTTCCTCACTCTCATGCTTAGATTCATAGTGTTTCTAAATTTTTTCAAAAGAGGTTGATGATTCTAACCCAATTTACTTATCTTTGTCTTTTATGGGACTTTGAATCCCACTAAGCCAGAATCTTGTCTTGTTTTCACACTCATTTGCTTAATAAAAACACCAACTGTCCTCTTTTGCTTCTTTAGTCTATCTTGCAACCCAGTTTTGTTTGCCATTTGCTCCTGTCAGGGTGCATTTAATCTTGTGGGCTGCGTCTTCTTGAAGTTCCAAAGTTGCGGCTTGAATGGGGGCCATGGAAGCCGCCACTTGCCCTTTCTTAATGCTATTTCGGAAGCCACGGGAAATGAAGGTTTCCCAACTAGTGTACCACTTCCCGAAATCAAGTGCGGGAAGTGCCATAGTATCAGGAAGCCGCCACAAACCAAAATCAAAAGCACTCCAGTGGTTCTTTGAATCTTACTGAACCTTTTTAGCACTCCTTTGCCTATGAGTGTGAAGCAAGTTTTCCTTCTCCTTTCTTCAATTTTTGAGGTCTCTGAAGTTGTTGTTTCTCATTGCATTGTGAATCTCCGCGTTACTTCATTGTGAATCTCCGCGTTAGTTCTTTTCTCCTGATCACCCCTTTCTTGCAATTACCAGCTATGTAAAAAATTTAGCAGTTACATCGAAAATCTGATTAGAAATGTTAATATATAGTCGTATATAACCGTCTGTGATAGAATTTTCCATCTCCAATTCAAACAATGTGCTACATATACAAGTTTATGTAAAACCCACTTGATCACTAACAAAAGTGATCCAATCCTAAGAACCTATGCTTTTGCAATGTTTTGAGTCATTTACCAAATTAGCAACCATCTCCAAGTGCCACACAAATCCAACAACAAAACTTAGTAGACATGCCTAGTCCCAAGCCGGTCATGACAGTCCCAAGCCGGTCATGACAGTCCCACGCCCGGATAAAGCAGGAGGGTTGTGTTAGGTAGGGCAGCCAACGTAAAACTGCCATATCTTTTCGTGAATCCTGGAGGCGAAACATAATAATGGTTAGGATAAAGCTCGGATGATGATGATTGATGATTTATGTACATATTTTGGTTTCTTGCATTCAACGAATAAAATCTCTTTTACGGGATAAAATCTTAGGAAAATAAATCTCTGTGTATGCCATGGTCTCCACTACTCCCTTGAGCCTGAAATCCACTAAATTGATCACCCCACAATGAAATGTGCATATCTCATGACACACCAACAAAGCAAATCCCAGCTTGCTCATTTTACTCACCATTCAACAATATAACAATCTTGTATATGTCATCTGATTCTTCATGGGTCTCATCTCTCACAGTAAATGAGTGCACCTTTCCCCTTATCTCAATCCAACTGAACCCCACCTCCTTCACAGTTTCTCTCTCTCTCATCATTCTCCTCATTTCCAAAGCTCTCTCTCTCTTCCCACAAGCTTCATACATCTCCGAAACGAGCAAATAAGCAGTGGGATTGTCGGGTTTAAGCTCGAGGAGCCTCTTCCCAACAAACTCTCCCATTTTGATGTTTGAAAATAACCGACATCCATTAAGAAAAGCCCTCCAAATTCCAACTCCAGGTTCAAATGGCATCTCTCTGATAAACTCCATAGCCTCGTTCAAGAGCCCAGCTCGACCCAACATATCGACTATACAAGCATAATGCTCGGGTTTTGGAGACAACCGATATGCCCTCTCCATACTATGAAAGCAATACCAACCTTCTTTAATGAGCCCACAATGACTACAACCTGAAAGCACACCAAGAAGAGTTATTCGATCAGGTTTCAGGCCAAAAGCCACCATTTTATTGAAGAGTTGCAGAGCTTCTCGGCCATGGCCATGTTGTGTGCAACCCATTATCAGAGAATTCCATGAGACCAAGTCTTGTACATGCATGTCCCCAAAGGCCTTTTCAGCAAATTCTAAGCTCCCACATTTAGCAAACATGGATATTGCAGAGTTACTGACTTTGGTATTTGACAAAAAACCCCACTTCATTGCCTGAGCATAGAGTTGCAAAGCCACTGATAACACTGTAAAATCAGCACAGGCAGCCATTGAGCTAGCAAAAGAGTGAGAATTAGGGCTCGTCCCCTCCATTAACATTGCTCGAAAAGCTAAAAGAGCTTCCATATAAAGCTTGTTCTGTCCAAACCCAGAAATCATGGCTGCCCAAGCCTCTGAATTATGCTCTGGCATCTCCTCAAACACCTTCCAAGCATTGTAAACATGAGAATTAAGCGAGAGCCCATGAATTATGGAGGTCCAGCTTATTGGGTCCTTCTCGGGCATCACAAAAAAGAGCTTCAGAGCAATGTGAGCTCTGTTCTCGTGCAAATAAGCTGTAATCATGGTGTTATAAGAAGAAGAGGTCCTTTGAACCATTTCTTCGAACAATTGGCGAGCAGCTTCAAGCTTCCCGTTTTGAACATAAGCTTGGATCATGGAGTTGCAGGCTATGGCGTCTTTGTATGGCATTTCGTCGAAGAGGTCGCGAGCTAAGCGAATGCGGCCACTGCGAGCGTGATAGCAGATGGCCATGGTGAGAGATGCCATGGATTTTTTGGTGAAGTTGGCTTTGAGTACCATGTTTTCATGAACATGGTACGTGAGGGAACGCTTAGAGAGCCTACTGCAATTATAAAATGATTGACCTATGCTCTAACAATCCAAAGTAAAAGCCTCACCTTGAATTCTCAAAGTACTTTCGGATCGAAAATTTCATGATCGCTCTAAAATTAATTTTCATAAAAACTTGAGCTAAAAATTTTTTGCTATGAAGCAACAGCCGCAATCCAAACAGGCCCTTTGAAGCAAGAGAGAATCATACACCATGCATGACCCATGTATTCGCTATGACACTGTCATGCAAAAATTTACCTCAACTTCACCTATATAATGGCAAAAATAAAACCCCTAAATGTAACATTCACATCATATGTTTTAAACCGTTCAGCAATGAGGGCGGATAAATATATATGAGAGAGAGAGATTATGGGGTGCAAGCAAAGGTTCTAACTTCTGATAAGTATATGCATACCTTTCCTATGTATGTCATGAATTTCAACCAAGACAAAGTAGTGTGAGTGTACATGAGCACATTTTTGTTTTCGGAGATATGGTATAAATTATCTTTGAGTTGTATACTATTTTTGAAGCTTTGAATTTTTATAATTAATATGAAATTATATTTTAAGGCTGGCACGAACATTTTCAGTATTGAAACCACATTTATTGACACTTTACGAAGGTGCGTTTTACTTTGAATTTTATAATTAATATGAAAATATATTTTAAGGTTGTCACATATTTCCCGTATTGAAACCACATTTGTCGACACTTAATGAAGGTGCGCTTTACTTTGATTGTTTAGAGCCTCACCCTTATACAAACAACACCCTATTGGAATATTGATGCAAATAACTGTATAAGTATACGATAGAAACTCATCCCAATTTGGGTCGAGGCTCTAAATAATCAAAATAAATCATACCTTCATAAAGTGTCGAGAAATGTGATTTCAATATTGGAAATCATTGTGATGGCCTTAAAAATATTTTCATCTCTAATTATAAAATTTCAAGCTTAAAAAAATAATGTAGATTGAACATATCTATAAACACTTAAAAATCGTGAAAATTGACGGTCCAAAAATGCATTACAAGATGCACTATTTCCAAAACTTGAAATCCATTTTTTTCTAATGTCCATGTACCTTGAGGTCAAGATGATCAATTTGAGGAATTTTGGGCATCAAAACAACCTCTTCTGATGAAATTTCTGATGTGCATCTTAATTTGATTGTTTAGAGCCTCCCAGTAATATAAACTTTTTCCTTTAGAAAAACAGGAGGTTTGCCAGAGTTTTAGTTTGATTCTTATTCATTGGGTATCTAACTTCAAAATCAACTCAAAATTTGACAAATCTCCCTTATCCAGATTGTTTATGTGATTTTAGGGTGGATTGTTTTTTGGGGATTTGAATTTAGGGTGGATTGGAAGGTATACAATCGTATCACAAATTTATTTATTAGTTTTTCTATTCTTAAATTCAGGACCTTATTGTTTCTTTGAATCTAGCAAGTTTTTCTAGGGGTGCCAATTGGATCCGGTGGGTCAACCCGAACCAGGTTCATGTTTTGGATCCCACTGGTCGGTTCTTGGTCCAAATGTCAAGTTCCAGTATTGCATGGACCCTATCAGGCCGATCATGACTTGGTATAAAATATATAAATTTTTATTTTTTTAATTTCTAGACTCAGGTCTGGATCCGAATTACTTGGGCTAGGGCCAAGTCTGCGTCCAAGTCACTTAGTCCCAACCGTGATCCGGCTTTAGGTGAAACCGAGGCGTTGCCACGCTTAAGTTTTTATTTCCTCGTAATGCCTGGTTTAGAATCTTTTGGCGCTATGCAGTGTTATTTCTTTGTTGGATTCATTCCAGTACAATCTTATTGCTGGTTCAATATAAGTGGACTTTTGTAAATGACAAAAATAAATCTACAATAAACAAAAAGTAAGCAATGAAAAAATAAAATTTTAAGATAAAAGACAAACAATTAAACATAAATCCTATCAAATGCATCTAAGAATGAATGTACAAATAATGGAAAGCACCATTTGCCAAAAATGATGAGCAATGAAGGATAAAGGCATTTTATGTTCAAAACATTTTGCTGAAGGATTATACATGAACTCCATGTTGGAATGAGTAATCATTTTCCATTATTCCAATACTAAAAAGTATAAATACTTCACCAAAAATGCCAACACAAAATACCCCCATCCTCTATGGCAAATCTTTTTTGAACATCACTCCCCTCTTACTTCCTTTTTAACATTTTAACCCTACTAATAAGATGGACATCTTGACAAGTCTCATTAAAATGCTATACATACTGTGATTTGCTAGAAATCCTATGAGAACCAATATAGTGAATGAGAAATATGATTGTTTTATGCTATAAGTTATTTATTTAGTGAAATGAGTAATTGTTTATGTGATTTTTTATAATAATGCATAAACATTTAATATAGAAATTTTTGTAACCATTTTAGAATCACTAGATGATTATTCTCAAATAAAATAAAATAAAATAGTTTTCTAACACTTTGATCTCGCCCTCTAAACATTGGACGGTTTCTATTCAATCTTGAGACATAATTTTTTTGAAGTGCCTAGAGAGTGCAATTAGGAAAAAAAATTATTATTAAGATTAACCTATGTGTTAATGAGGTTATATCCCCAAAATTTGGGGTCCTCAAGGTAATCCTAAGTAGGTTTCATCTGAGGGAGTAAATAAACAATATACTCTCAAAGGAGTAGAACATTTTTGGCTATAGCAATTGTAAAATAAACCAATTAACATTATACACTTCGTAATATTATTCTAATTGCTTATAGAAATATTCATTATAAAAAAAATAAAATTATAAAATAATAGTAATAATTTTATTAATATTAATATAGAATTATGAAATTACTTTTATGAGTATAACGCCTCCATATTAGAAAATTAAAAATACATTACATAGATTGTCAGTAATTTTTATCCATATGCTAATCATATTACGGACTAAGAGGCTTCTAAAAATAGAAATATTAATTGTAGTTATTTATAGTTCTTAAGGATGAAAATGCCATATGATTAACCCAAAACTATAAGGAGTGGCAACCTTAAATGTAGAATTAAGGTGCACCTAAGAAATTGATCATAAATGTTGGTTTGAAGTTGGAAAACCCTCTAATTGGTCATCTCGATGTATGAATATGAAAAAAAAAAAAAGATTTTGAGTCCCAAAAATAACACATCTTGTACCACATTATCTTGATATTTTTTTTCTTCCTACTCATAGATCTTGAGGTCGAGATGATCAAATTGGAGGGTTTTCTAACATCGCAACACTCTCATATATACGATTTTTGAGGTTTTCACTTCAATTCAATTGTATAAGATTGACACATTATTTAACTTTTTCCTTATAATAATTGGTTAACTTTCATAAACATATAATTATGATAATATAAATATGATAAATTGATAAACGAGAGAGTGTTAGAAATAAAGTTAGTGTATAGAAGAGATAAATACTAAAGATAAAAATAAAAATAGATATAAAAATGATAAATTTGGAAATTGAAAATCAATAGGACAAAATTAGACGAGAATAGATGGGTCGCCTTCTCATTCAATATAAGATAATAATCCATACATAACTCCATGGGTGCTCTCATTGTGCTCCATAACTTACCCATACATACATACATACAAATCCCACGTTATAGCTCACCTCAAACCATAATACCTATCCAATGAGCACCAACCAGTGAATCTCTCAACTACTTTTGTAATTAACCATGTCCACCCAACAAGTGAGCCTTAAGGCAATAATAAGAGCTCAAGACTGTAAGAACTAACCAATAACCACCAAACCAGGTGGCGCGGCCACCTCCAATTCCTGTAGAGTCACCCTTTTCAATCATGTTCATCAGCCTCCGCAACCGCCTCCAGCCCGAAATCTGGCTCACTGGGCTTCTGCAACAAAGTGCCACCAGACCCAGTAGTAGAGCCATTCAAACCCAGAATCGGTCCCGTCTTCCGGACACTGGCAGCCAACCTTGATGCATATTCGGCGAATCCCATCTTAGGCAGTGTAACCGGCACCGACCCCTCCTCCATAGCCCAAAGCTCCCCCATGTTTTGCCGCTTCTTATGCCTCCTCCATGTCGCTTGTATAAAACAGGCTGCCCATGTTCGCCATTGGTGCGAATAGAACCGGAACCTGTGCCTTAATTGCTTGCTGTGCAGCCTCCTAAACTGTGCAGCGACGAATTTAAGATCGTCAGCGCCAAGGGCGAAGGCCTCGACTTCTACGAGGGCTTTGATGGTACGGGTGGAGGCAGGGAGTGCAGCAGCAGGGGTGGGGTCAAGGGCCCAAGTGAGGAGCTCCTCCCCACAGAAGTCCCCTGGGGAGAGGCGACTGGTGTTGAAGAAGCCAGTACGGCCGCCATTGGTGGTGGAGCTCTCAAGGTGGCCTCGGATTACAAAAAGCATGTGGTCAAGGGGGTCCCCCTCCCGCACCACATGCGTGCCCTCCGTGCAGAGGGCTAGCCTCAGGCGCTCACAGATGGCGTCCAGCATTCGGTCATCCATCTCGTCGAAAAGCGGAACCTGAGTAGTTTCATGGTTAATAGTATTCAAAGAGTAATGCTCTCCCTCTCTCTCAATTTATCTGTAGAGCTTCTCTCTCTCGCACACACACACTTCATTTACAGAGATTCTCTCTATCAGTGTTTCGCTTTCAATTCATCTAAAGAGCTTCTCTCTCTCTCTCTCTCTCTCCATTTCAACTTACTCTTCTGACAAGATCGAGGCAAAGATGGCGCTTTATATCCCTGCGCAGATCCATAGGAAGGCCTTTGAGAAGAGCCTCTTCATCCACCCCTCTAGTGGCCATCCATTTATACTGATCATATCTTCTGATGCAATTCCTCAGCTCTTGTGGCAACTGCCTATGCCTCATCCATTCCTCAGTATCTGTTCTCTTAATTCTCCATTCCTCCAATCTTGCAGTTGTTGATTGCAAGTAAGTCTACAAAGGGAATTAGTTGCTTAGATATGATGTATAACTTAATGGGGGGAAGGGGAAGGGGAAGGTGAAGGGGAGAGAGAGAGTATTGGAGGGAAGGGGGCTTACTTGCATATTGCCAATAAGGAGCCCAAAGAGGACCAACCCAAGGATTGCTACAAGAATGGCAAAAGCTATTTCTCCCACATAAGTGCTGGTAACTAGAGCTTGCCCCAAAGAACTGTATGGTCCAAGACAACCAAATGTGTAGAAACGAAAAACAATCCACAAAACAAGAAAGAAGATACAAACACAAAAAAAAGTGACAATAAATCATAACACAAAGATATACGTGGTTCGACAACATGCCTATGTCTACGGGGAGATGAGAGCTTCTTTATTGATAATGGAGAATTGGGTTACAATGACTCTCTTACTCATGCATCTCTCTGCTTTCGTATTACAAAGAAATCTCCGTTTTTCCTTAACCTTAAAAGAACCCTCATCGCAACAATATATATAGTCCTAGATAGATGGTACAAATTATCAAAATACCCTAAAAGAACTCCCTTTCGGGCTTTTAACGGCCCTCCAGAGTCGTCCCTTTGACTCCACCTTGACAGATCTATTTCCTCATGATACAAGACATCAATCCTCATGATACAAGACGAGTATAGTGTGCTTGATGAAGACCAACTGAATATATATATATATATATATATATATATATATATATATATAGTGGTA